GAAGGAAGGAAGGAAGGAAGGAAGGAAGGAAGGAAGGAAGGAAGGAAGGAAGGAAGGAAGGACGGACGGACGGACGGACGGACGGACGGAGGGACGGGCGGACGGACGGACGGACGGACGGAAGGACGGAAGGAGCCAATCAATTAGACACTATTTCTTCCAACTCTCAATGTCATACAACCCATGTGAGCCAAAATATATGTTAGATGTAACTTTTCCTTAGAACTGAAATCATATTAATGTTTCAGGGGCATGATTTAGGCAGGCATATGTGTCTGAGACTTGCCCCATCACCTCCTGGCAAATAGAAGGGGAAGATATGGGGGAAGTGACAGATTTTACTTTCTTGGGCTCCATGATCACTGCAGATGGGGACAGCAGCCACAAAATTAAAAGACATCTGCTTCTCGGGAGGAAAGCCATGACAAACCTAGACAGCATCTTAAAAAGCAGAGACATCACCTTGCTGACAAAGGTCCGCATAGTCAAAGCTATGGTTTTTCCAGTAGCAATGTATGGAAGTGAGAGCTGGATCATAAAGAAAGCTGATTGCCGAAGAATTGATGCTTTTGAACTGTGGTGCTGGAGGAGACTCTTGAGAGTCCCCTGGACTGCAAGGAGATAAAACCTATCCCTTCTGAAGGAAATCAACCCTGAGTGCTCACTGGAAGGACAGATCCTGAAACCGAGGCTCCAATACTTTGGCCATCTCATGAGAAGAGAAGACTCCCTGAAAGACTTCCCTGGAAGACTTCCCTTATGTTGGGAAGGTGTGAAGGCAAGAGGAGAAGGGGACGACAGAGGACGAGATGGTTGGACAGTGTCACCGAAGCAACCAGCATGAATTTCACCCAACTCCAGGAGCAGTGGAAGACAGGCGGGCCTGGTATGCTCTGGTCCATGGGGTGACGAAGAGTTGGATATGACTTCACGACTAAACAGCAACAAATGTTTCGGAGAAATCAAAATTGAAAATTGGGACTGTGTTTATATCTTGAAGACTAGTCACACAGCAAAGCAAGCTGATTTGCACAGCAGGCAATGACAGAAGCTCCTGCTGTGACAATCACACATAAGGAATTACCTATTCGAATGACAAGGTTACCTGTAACATGTCATTTGCCTCTTAGATATGGATGGATCTAGTTTTATCATATTAGTAGAACTAATCAATAGAACACTCCTATTCATATTTATCAAGGTTTAATCAGTTTGATGAAATTATTTGACCCCTTTATGATCCTATCTGATATCGTACAGTGGTGCCTCGCATAGCGATCGCTCCGTTTTACGACGAAATCGCTTTGTGATGGACTTTTTGCCATTGCAAGAGCGATCGCTTTGCGATGGCCCCTACGGGGAAAATTCGCTTTGTGATTATTGTGGGGGAGCCCTGTGATCATCCCAAAGGCCCCATTTTCGCACAGCTGATCGGCAGGGCCTTTGCGATGATCGCGGGGAGCGCTTCCCCGCGATCATCCCAAAGGCCCTATTTTCGTACAGCTGATCGGTGGTTCCAAAATGGCCACCCGCTGTTTTGCCTCACTTTAGAGGCACCGAAAATGGCCGCCCCATGGAGGATTTTCGCATAAGGTGAGTTTTTAAGCCCATAGGAACGCATTAAACCCGTTTTAATGCATTTCTATGGGCTTTTAGAAATCGCTTAGCGATGAAATCGCGTAGCAGCGATTTTTGCTGCACGAATTAACATCGCTAAGCGAGGCACCACTGTATTTCTCTATATCAGTGGTTCTCAGTTTGGGTCCCCAGATGTTCTTGGACTGAAACTCCCAGAAGACTTTACCACTAATTATGCTGGCCAGGATTTCTGGGAGTTCTAGTCCAAGAACATCCGAGGACCCAAAATTGGGAAGCACTGCTTTATAGCTTCCTTTTGGTGTCAGCAAAACAAAATATCATCTGAAATTCTCCCTCATTTTCCTTTTTCCATATGTTTGCTGTCAATCACTATGAAATGGTGAAGGTTATGATAATTGAAGGCTATGTTATTGCAGAAACAAGTAATCAGGAGGATGCCTTTGCATTCATCTTTGGTTAGTTTATTGGTTTCCAGCCAGAACCCTGGAACTTCCATATTCTGTAAAATAATGCTGGGTCCAGTGAGCAATTGCACTTAAAAAAATTGTCCCAGTTTGATTATAAGCTTAATAAACAAATCTGCTCAGAGTTAATATCATAAAAATCTTAATCCAGTTACATATGGCCCAGGAGATTCCTCTAAAAGGATGTGATTAGGTTTTACTAATGAAGTTGAATAAAGCAAGTCTTTTAAGCTTCCTAGACCAGTGGGCAAAATATGTACAGTAGTTAGCTTTGAGCTACACAAAGGAGGGACAGATATGTGATACTAACAATGAAATTAATTATATTATTGATATCATTTTACAGCTGGCTGGATAGCTCAGTGGTTTAAGTATCTGGCTGTGGTGCCAGAGGTTGGGTGTTCAATTCCCCACTGTGCTTCCAGGGAGTAGATCCAGGCTATGTGGCCTTGGGCAAGTTGCACAGTCCCAGGGTGTCACCAAAAGGGCATGGTAAATCACTTCTGAATACTCTCCACCTGGAAAAAATATGAAAAGGATAAGAGCAAGTCAGAATTGACTTGACATACATGATTATTATTATCCTTTTACAACCCAAATAGTATTATCCATGCAGAAATGGATGATATCAACAAATCCAAAGGTATCCCAAGGTTTGCAGAAGCACAAAAAAGAGAAGATTCCAAAGGAAGGGAAGACCTTCCACTGGTATCCCACTGGAGATTAAACATACTCATGGGGCTTGGAATGCTGACTAACTGCCAAGTGAGATGGTGAGTGGGTGGAATGGAGTGGAATAGCTAGGAAGAAGGTGCAAGGGACTGGCTAGAACCCTCAACAGGAAGACTCCAGTCTGCAACATTTTGTTGCTGATCCTGCATTTAAATAAGTAAATGCAGAGCCTGCTGTCTTTGCTCATATGGAAATGTGAATTCATATTTTCTTGACACAGTTGCTCATGCAGATCTTTTTTCCCAATTTCGCACATTGCGCCTGGGCACTCTTACTGATACCAGACCAAATGTCATGTAGAATAAATTTCCTTATGCAGAGCACCAGCTGTACATACCTCCAGGATAACAACATCAATAAGTTTAGAAATCTGTCATGATAATCTTCTTGCCTGGCTTTTTAAACCAGCTCATAATGTAGTGGACAGTCTCCCTAGACATCGATGTTGTTGGTTTGCAGAGTGATAATGAGAATTATATCAGGGAGACATTCCGCCATCTTGGGTCCTTTTGAGCAGAAAGGGGAAATACAAGTATTTTAAATAAGTAAGTAAGTAAGTAAGTAAGTAAGTAAGTAAGTAAGTAAGTAA